GTGCCTTTGGGGGGGTGACGGGTTGAGAGGAGCCTCGCCCTTCCAGAGGAGGAGGATCGAGGTTGAGGAGCCAGGAGGATCGAGGAGGAGGAGGAGGATCGAACAGGACCGGACTGGATCGGATCGATTCGGCATTGCGCGTGTCGTGTGACGTGGAATTGTGCGCACAGTGTGATACACGGTGCGAGCACTCCCTACCTTTCGCATCTCGCCTAGCTGGTATTCGCGGTCATGGTTTACGCGCGCCGTGCAGCCATTGGTAAACACATGGATATTGAGGCTGGGCACAAGCAGGCACACTCGCTGTCTGAGGGGCTGGGGGGGGGACGTCCCTCCGGCTTCCTCGGGGCCGAGCCAGCGGCACTGGGCGCGCCTGGCAGGCCCACGAGACGTGCACCGGCCCGCGACGTGCTGCAGCGACGAAGCACAATGGGGACGCCGGGGACGGGGAGAGCGACGGAGGCAGGAGGGTACAATGCCGCACGAGGAGGCAGGCACGAGGCGGATTAAGGGCCGTGCAGCATGCTACCCGTGCACCGACACAGGATAGGGATGGGGGAGGAGCGAGGGCGGCGCAGGGGCGCTGGCTTTGACGCTGCAGGTCATGGATGGCGACAGGGGCCGCGCAGAAGGTCCATCGGCGACACGTCGGGGAGGCCAGGTGTCGACGGCATCGCTCTCTGGGTCCCAAGCCGTCCTGGCACCATCGTGACGGCGACCAGATCCGGCAGCACGAGCCAGGGTGCCAGTTCGTGACGATTCTGAACCTGGTGTGAGCCAGGATTTTGAGGCAAATTCTTGACTTCACGCCTTGACCAGTCTTCTACCATTGCCCTTGCCCTTGCCCTTGCACTTGCCCTTGCCCTTCGGCTTGTTCATATCCAACAGGTGCTTGGCGAGGTTTTCGAGTTTGCCTGCAGAGGGTGGCTCCCGTCTCCATCTTGCCTCCCATGGCCTCCAGGAGTTTCTCGATGCTCTGTTCGATCATGAGCTTGCTGGTGTTGGCCTCGGCGCCAGCCGGGGTGGACAGGACGCTGCTATTTACGATGCTGAACGGGACGGTGTGCACGAGCGCGCGTCGTCGCGCGCGCATGCGGAAGGATGGCGAATTCGAGTCTCCCGCAAATATAATACACATGGTTTTGTAACCGTAGTTTAAAACAGTGCCAGGGCTCGCGATATATATATATATATATATATATATACATACATATATACAACTACATATACACACATATATATATATGCATATATATATATGTATATATATATATATACAGATAGGTAACACAATCTTTCAATTCGGCGCAGCAGGCCCCTCGCGCCGCGCGTCGAAATCACCCGGGCGCCCTTGCGCGCGTGCGGGGGGGTGATCCGTGTCAAGATGGAGTAAGCCCGCGTAGTAAGGATTGGCAGCCTTGCCAAAAGGTACCCTTGCACCCTTGCCTCGTCGGCCCGTGCTTGACCGCTTTCGTTGGCCGCGCCCCGCGCGAGAAACTTCGAAATGGACGTCCAAGGCCTTTGCGTCCTTATCGCGCGTCTTTATGATGCGGGCCGGCTGCGCCGTGCGGCCGGCTCTCGCGCGTCGACCGCGCGCGCGTATCGAATTTCCTCCAACCTTCATCGCCGACGCGAGGGCGCCGTCGTCGTCGTCGGCGTGATCCGCATCGGCGCCGTCGCTGGCCTTGCCGTCGTCGTTGTCATCATCGCCACCGTCATCGCCGCGTCTACCGTCGTCGACGTTGCCATGATGCCTCGTCCGCCCAAGTCGCCGATTCGCATTGAAGTGCCCGCTGGGAAGCGCCTGGCAGATAGCGCCGCGTCGGTCGCGCCGAGCTAGTTGGCCGCTGCGCGCGCGGCGTGCGCGGGCTAGCGCGGCCGCAAAAGTGCACCAGCCAACTCAGCGGCCATGGCAATCGCCGCCGCGTGGGTTTTTGCAAACCAAGTTGCGGGTGGGTGGGTGGGGTGATTGCGCGGGCAGTGGAGTGGGCAACTCGCTGCGAAGAAACATTAGTTCTTCTTTCTAATAAAAGGGGTTTGTCCCCCCTTCGCCCCCAGACATAGCGATTCATTCTTCCGCGTTGCAATTTGCGTGTGCTTCTGACCCAATGTTCATCCTACCTGTGAATTCATATTATCCCACCTGGGCCGGCCCCCCCCCCCGCCCCCCCCCCCTGCGAGAAAAATATAAATTATGCGCGCGTGTGTAAGCAATCGTCAGTTTCCAAGAACCCTTTGCAACGCATGGGGCGAAGTGCACGCGCGCGCGTCGTCGCGTGCACGTGCCGAAATCCTTCAAAAACTTGCGGTTTCGGAAGAATATCAAACTCGAGTGTCAAAAAACATATAAAGCCAAAAGGTTTATCAATGCGGATTGTCAAAGAAAGCGCGCGCGCGCGCTCCTCCGAATTCTTGAGAAAACCATTTTTTTCTTATCTCCTCTCTCTCTCTCCAACATTTCGAGAGCATGCTGTCAAACGGGCTTCGCGCGCGCGTGCCGGAGTCGTTCGAGCGCCTTTGCGCGCGTGCCGTCGCGAGAACCCCTTTGCAAAACATGGTGCGAAGCGCGCGCGCGTCGTCGCGCGCGCGCGCCGAAACTTTGCGAACCTTTTTGGGTTTGCAGCGATTTCAAAACCGAAGGTCCAAACCACATATTTAAACGTGCAATGTTTCGCAACGTCAAGTCTCAGAAAAGCGCGCGCTCGCTCTCTTGCGAATGCTTGCGGCGGCCCTAGTTTTTTCGGCATGTCATGGGATCTTGCCGAACGGGCCTCTCGCGCCGCGCGCCGACATCACTCGCGCGCCCTAGCGCGCGTGCGGGGGGGGGGGGGGCGCGGCCAATTTCAAATGATGGCGCGCGGGCCACTCGCGCGTCGGCCGCGCGCGCGTCAAATGACGCGCGCGCGCCGCTTCCGCAGCGATTGTCGCCGACGCGAGGGCGCCGTCATCTTCGTCGGCGTGATCGGCGTCCGCGCCGTCGCTGGCCGTGGTCGCTGTCAGCGTCGCCACCGACGTCGCTACTATCGTCGCCGTGCGCGCCGTCGTCGACGTTGCCGTGGTACCTCGTCCGCCCGAGCCGCCGATTCGCATTGAAGTGCCCGCTGGGATGTGCCTGGCGGTCAGCGCCGCCGCGGCTGCGTCGGTCGCGCCAAAGTGCATGCGCGCGCGTGTTCATGCGCGGGCTGTCGCCGCCGCGTAGATGCCCCAGCCAGCGCCGAGCGCTCATCGCATTCGCCGCCGCGCGGGCCTTGCAAACCAAATTGCAGGTGCTTTCTAAAGAGGAGATAGGTTCTACCGCCCCCCCCCCCCCCCGGACATGCAGACCCCCGTTTTTGCGTGGCAATTTGCACATGATTTTGCCGGATCGCCCATCCTAGATATGAGTTTGCGCCATCCCAGGGGGGCCGGTGTCGCCGCCCCCCGCCATCCCCGGCCAGGAATATTCATGCTCGCGCACTCGTTCATCACAGATCACAAGTTTTCGAGTGCACGCGCGCGCGTCGCCGCGCGCGCGTGCCAGATTCGCTCGAACTTATGGTCTCGGAAACGTTTCATAATCGAGCATGAAGAAACATATAGAAGAGAGGGTCTCGCAACGCGGACTTTCATAACACACGTGCGCGCGCGCACTTGCGAACTCTTAAGACAACATATATATGCACATATATGTACAAACAACACATGTCCATAATTTGCTACCAGACGGGCGTCGCGCGCGCGAAAAGCAAATGGGGCGAAGTGCGCGCGCGCGTCGTCGCGCGCGCGTGCCGACGTCCGGCAGAAACCTTCGGTTCCGGACGGAATGCGCAACCAGCCGCCAAGACACGTTTGGTTCCGATTGGTTTCGCAGCGCGGATTTTCAACAAGCGCGCGCGCGTTCTTGCGAATTCTTAACAAGACCATGAGTTTTTCAATTTATTCAAGGCCACCAAACGGGCTTCGCGCCGCAGTGCATGCGCCCGCATGCGCGGGCTGTCGCGGCCGCAGAGATGCACCAGCCAGCGCCGAGCACTCGTCGCATTCGCCGCCGCGCGGGGTTTGCAGACCAAGTTGCGGGCGCTTTCTAGAAAAGAGATAGGTTCTACCGCCCCCCCCCCCCGGACATGCAGATTCCCGTTTTCGCGTGGCAATTTGCAAATGATTTTGCCGCATCGCCCATCCTAAATATGAATTTGCACCATCCCAGGGGGGCCGGTGTCGCCGCCCCCCGCCATCCTCGGCAAGAAGTATTCGTGCGCGCGCGCGCTCGTTAATCGCGAATCGCATGTTTTCAAATGCGCGCGCGCGCGTCGTCGCGCGCGCGTGCCCGAATCCTGCAATAATTTTTTCGGTTTCGGAAACATTTTGTAATCGAGCGTCGAGAAACATATGGAAAGAGAGGGTCTCGCAACGCGGACTTTCATAACAAACGTGCGCGCGCGCTCTTGCGAACTCTTAAGAAACCATCGTTTTTTGTTTCCAGCGTTTCCATTCTACTACCAGACGGGCTTCGCGCGCGCGCGTGCCGAAATCGTTTGAACGCCCTTGCGCGCGTGCCGTCGCGAGAATCCCTTAAAGCAAATGGGGCGAAGTGCGCGCGCGCGTCGTCGCGCGCGCGTGCCGACATCCGGCAGAAACCTTCGGTTCCGGACGGAATGCGCAAACAGCCGTCCAAGACACGTTTGGTTCCGATTGGTTTCGCAGCGCGGATTTTCAACAAACGCGCGCGCGCGCTCTTGCGAATTCTTAAGAAAACCATGAGTTGTTCGACCTATTCAAGAAATGCTACCAAACGGGCTTCGCGCGGGCGCATGCCGAAATCGTTTGAACGCCCTTGCGCGTATGCTGGGGTGGCACGATCCAGGTCAAACCATGCCATGCGAGCCACTCTCGCGCGTCTGCCGCGCGCGCATTTCGAATTCCTTCCAAAACCTTCATCGCCGACGCGAAGACGCCGCCGTCGTCGTCGGCGTGATCAGCATCGGCGCCGTCGCTGGCTGCCCCGTCGTAGCTGTCAGCAT